CAAGACACCTGAACGTCATTTATCATCGAGTGGGTGCCCGAAGATGAAGTCCATCGACACCGAGCTCCAGGCCTCGGTGACCACTGGTAAAGGGGAGCCTGCGACGACGAAGCAGGTTTCACGCGCTGGCAGATCTTGCAGGTGCGCACCCACTTACGTACCCATTTATACTTATGGGGCCAATGAAAGTCGCGTGACACAGCGGCAAACGTCTTCTCGCGACCGAGATGAGCGCACAGCGGGGCATCATGAAATCCATGGATAATCCGTGAGCGCAGGTCGGGGTCGTTAGAGACAACGACACGTGGTGCATCGAAGTTGTCGATGCTGTACGCCAGCAGCTCGTCCTCAAGACGATATCGGTGGATTTTGTTTCGTACAGAGCGGGAAAGGGCTCCCAGTGTGTCGGCGCTGGGAGAGCGGAGATGCTTCAGGATACTGGAGCACGTCGAGTCATGTTCGTAAGCAGCTCGGATCTCGTCGCGAAGTGGCTTTACCGGGGAGATGCTCGTCAGGTTGACGCCTCGCACGTGGCACACTCGTCGACATCGTCTTCATCCAGCGAAGCTTGTCGACCCAATACACCGCGTGGGTCGTAGTCGGGACGCCGAGACAAAGCGTCGGCGAGAAAGTTGTTCTTGCCGGGTTTGTAGTGGACAACGAAGTTGTACTCAGAGAAGAACGAAAGCCAGCGGGCCATCCGCTGGGAGAGATGAGGACTCTTCATTGCTGTCCTCAGCGATGCATGATCGGTGTACACCGCGAAGGTATCCTCAACCAACAAGTACACTCTGAACTTGATCAGAGCGTAGCGCATCGCAAGGAGCTCCTTGTCGTGAACAGGGTAGTTGCGCTCCGCCGGCTTCATCTGTCTGGACTGGTAGCTTACGATGCGCTCCCGACCTTCATCATTGAATTGCATCAGCGCACAGCCGATGACGAAATTGCTCGCGTCGCAGACGACGTGAAAAGGCTTCGAGTCAACCGGGAGCGCGAGGATTGGGGCCTCAGTGAGACTCTTCTTCACCGAGTCGAAATCGACTTGATGTGCGGAGGTCCACGCCCATGAAACGTCTTTCTTCAACAACAAAGAAAGCGGCTGTATCAATCCGACGTAATTCTTCGTGTACTCGTGGAGATAATTTGCGAGACCCAGTCGCTGGCGCATATCAGTGGGATTATGTGACGTAGGCCACACACATATCGACGGCACTTTCTTGGGGTCGGCGCGGACGCCGTTCTTGCTCACAAAGCAGCCAAGCACCGGAATCTCCGGCGCACAGCATATGCACTTCTTCAAGTTTGCGTACAGCTTGTTTTCGCGCATCACTTGGAAGACTTGCCTCAGATGCTTCAAGTGGACTTCGAGCGCGCTGAGGCCCCCCTTAGCGCGACTATGTACAAAGATGTCGTCGAAGTAACTTGGTGCAAAATCACGGAGCCGGCGCAGCACATGGGATTCCATGCGATTGAACGTGGCGGTGGTATTCTTTCAGTCTTGTGGCATAACAAGCCACTCCTAGAGCATACCACTGGGAGTGCTTACCGCTGTGAGCGGTATGTCACCCAGCCTCATGAGAATTTGGTAGAGCCCATCGGCCAAGTCGATGGCGCCGAAGACCTCACTACCCGACATTACGTCGAGCACCATGTCCTTCCGAGGAATCGGTGTATGGGCAAAAATGGTAGCATCCTGAAGGCATGGACGATGCGCCACCCACCCGTTGCTTTATTCATATAGAAAGTTGACTGGGATGCGGCGATGTACTCTCACGCACATGACCCGCCTTGCGGCGGCTCTCAAAGAAGTCATCGATAGCTTGGACCGGATCTCGCGGGAGCGGTCACTGCCGCGTTACACAATACTTCGAGCCGGGCACGAGACCGATCTCGTGGCGAATTCCTCGGTCAGCTGGTAACTCAGCTGGAATCTTATCCGGAAAGACATCTTTATATTCGCAAAAGGACTCTTTCACTTGTTTGCCGGATTCGCGTAGTGCTTCCCAAGATTGCGCTGCGAAGCGCTTCTCGCGGGCCGACTTCGGTTCGGCGCTCTTTGGGCGCGAGGTAGCGTCGTCGTCACTGACTGCATTCACTTCTAACGACGTCGAATCGGCGTCGTTGATCATGCAGACCTGCTCGATTTCATCGTCCTTGAGGCCGCAAAGAAAGTTCTTCCAGGAGAGACCTGGAAGTCGAGTGATCGACTGCGCCTCTCGAGGTGGGTTTGCAAGCTCGGGCGCTCGTCGCCGACCGGAGGTAGTCAAGCACCCAGACCGACTCCGTCGGTGAGCTGTCGCTTGGTACGGGCTTTCGGCAAAGTTTCAGCCGACGCCACTTCGACTTCTTCTTTTGCCGCCTCGAGTGCGAACTCGAGGATGATGAGTCGCTCTTGCTGGACGAGATCTCACCCCCTCTAGCGGGAGCATTGCTCGACCGCCATCTCGTTCGACTGGGGGGGGCAGGGGGGGCTGCTCGACCACCAGTTGGTCGTGGATGACCGGTCCACGACGGTGACGTGAGGCCAATCCTTCCGAGCGACCAGGCGGTGCGTGATCGCCTCGCTCACATCATAATCACTGCGACGCTTGACCGACCGGGCCAACCAGTCAATCTCTGGTTGATAGAGCGACAACCACGGCATACCCAGGATGCTGTCAAACGCGTAATTTATCTCCATGACGAGGAAGCCGTCGTTGCTTCGAAAACCGTCGAACGTGTACGGAAGTGAATCTCGCGGAACAACGCGCGGCGTAATTTCCCATCAGCCGACTTAACAGCGACTTCCCATCTACCTTTGTGGACAGTGATGTCCGACGGGAGTACCGACAAGCACGACGTGCGAAAGAAGTTGTTGGTTGCTCCTGAATCAAGGAGCGCTCGCAGTGGTCGCCAGGCGCCGGCGACATGAAGACTGACAATGATCAATCTTGAATCACTCGGCGTGGTGGTGGCATGAAAGTGTGCATGTAGCACAGGAGGTCTAGGAGGTTGGGCTGCCACCGGGGGACCCGGACCTCCATTCCAGCCAGTAGGGCGCCCCGCACCTACTGACCCTGACCGTTTTCTGGCTGGTCAGAACTTACGGGCTCGGCATCGACATGCGAAAGCACTGGAGCTAGTGCGCGGCACTCCGCCGCACGATGACCGACCTTCAGGTAGGTGAGAGAACGATCGTTCCGAGCACCGCCCCGACGCGTTACATGACGCTGATGATTGCTCGTCGTACCGATAGCATTGATGTCCATGGGCTCGGGCGCAGATTCCCGAGCTGAAGCGGGCAGCGCGTGAGCGTATGACGCCGCAACCACGTAGTCCTCGCGTAGTGCAAGGGCAGATGCCTCTTCGAGTGTAGAGGGATTCGATCTTGTAAGGCAGTAGCGCGTCATACCTTCGCGCATACTGAGCACGAATACATGAACCTGAGAGGCCATATCGATGGGCTTGGACACGATACACGACGCGAGGTGTCGTGTCTTCTGGACGTAGTCGCGCATAGTCATCGTGCCTTGCTGAAGGGCGAAGAAGTCTGCCCGAATTGGGGATTTATCTTGCGGCGGCTCGAACGCGAGCCGAAGGTCACTCTGGAGGGTATCGAGAGTGGGGAAGGTGTTGGGGTCGGCGACCAACTTGCCGAGGGCCCATTCCTTCATTTTCCCCGGACAGCCGCGAGAGGAGGAAGTGGACCCTCGCGGAAGGCGCCTCGATCAACCTCGAGGCGATGGCGATGTCGATCTCTCGAAACCAGCGATTCAGCGGAAGTCGGTCTTCTCCGGCACTGGAGTAGGTGGACGTCTCTAGCTTCACAACGTCATTCGAGGAGATACGCGAGGGAGTTGATAGTCGCCGATTCGCAGCTCGTGCTCCACGAATTCTTGTGCCGCAACGCGCTGCTCGTCAGGCGTCGCTGAGCGCAGCAGCGACGTGACGACGGCTTCTTCGGACACCGCCGCGGGGCGGTGGAGAGCTTCCCACTCGACCCGAGAGAGATGGGGGAAAGCAGCATGGTCGAGTTCTTGGCTCATGTCGAACTTGGTCATTGGAAGGACTACGAAGTGCTACCAGGTGTAACGGGCCAGGTCTTTACTCCGTTACTTGCTTCCACTAAAGTGTTGAGGAAGCTCGCAATAGGACGACTGAGTCTTAGGTTTAAGGAAAAATCAACTCTGAATTTTATTTTTATGACCAAGGCCCACACGTCATATTCCATTTGGGCTAATAATGGGTTCTGGCTCCCCAAATATTAGCCAATGGCATGACATCATTTCAGCACGCTTTAAATCGCACCTACTTATGTTATGGCCCTTATCCTAAAGTTGCACTTATGCAACATAAGCGCTGATGAAGAACATTGGAGACTAGTACACTGTAATGGGTCTTAGTGGGTCTTAGTGGAGATACTGTAATTTACAGTGTCTGATGTAATCGTAAAACCAAAATAAGGTTTTTAAGTAGATTAACCGTGCACTCAGCCATTATCTTGTGCGATGGAACGCTGTCGTTGGTCTCCTCGTTTAGCTTAGATGTCAGCTACCCGTACTGCCTAAGCGGGGGTAATGTCCTCCATCATGCACGTTATTCAGCTTTAACCGCAAGCGCAAAGCTGAGACTGAGATGGGCGACAGTGTCAAGTTTTTCAAGATTTCAGTCTTGGCACCGTGCAATGATATTAGGCCATTCGTGGTTTACCTCCTGAAAATGTTGCGAGCAAAATGTCTTTTGTGCAACGATGGCTGTTTGCTTGTCCTTGGCTGATCTACCACATACACACACCGTCATGTAGTCGCGCAACTTGCGGAAGGTGGACTGGCAATTTACTATTCTTCGGCGCTTTGAAGAAATCAGCCAGCAATTACAATTACATGCACGCGAGCTGCCTTACGGAGAGGTTTTTTGTCCTTGTTGCAGGTGTTTGACAAGCGCACTAGCAGCTTAACATTTACGCGAAGATTTTGTGTGAGCATGCTATCTCAGGGATGTAAACTGCAGTGGGGGCGAGAATGGTGTCGGTAAATCTTGGAATAGCTGGAAAGTAGACGATGACGCCATCGATCTTGAACTTGAAGAGAGCCTTACCTGAGGCTCAAGGCTTAAGTCAAGCTGACTTAGTCGCTCAGACCCATCTGTGGCAGATTCTGCGACTGTATCTGGCGCACGTGTTAATACCACTGCTCAGTTCGTGCGTCGATCGCAGTAGACGTAGTTTAATCTAACCATTACAGTGTTATCGGTTAAGCTATAAATTATAGTACTGTAAAAGGTTTTCGAATTTGTAATACACTATTATTAAAAGTGCTAACCTGTTTTACCGATTGCCCTACCCCTATTAAATCATCAAATGTCCTATCAAATTGCAGCGATCTTTCATTGCTCTACAGTCGCCAGTACAGCCAAAATGCGACTTGTGGTGTCCACGGGTGAAGTGATCTTGTGCGTCTGTGCGCTCGCTCTCGCGCTCTACCTGTCGCCCTTTTTCATTGATGAAGTGAACGCCAATGCTTCCAACGCCTGGGAGTTTCTTCTCGTATGGGACGACGAGGAGAACTTCCTGGAGAACAAGGTGATCCGAAGCGGCTTGAATGTAACAAACCTCTACGCTATGTTCACAATGACCAAGATCAACGTGTACGAGCCATTCGGGTGGATACTCAAGGCAATCCAAGTGCAGGTAGTGGGGCTTGACTCCTGGTGGATTCGAATTGTGTCGACTGCGCTGCATTTCGTAGCTGCGGCGGTGTTGGCACGAACCTCCGCACAACTACTCAACATTATGGCGCTGCTTTCGGACATCAAAGCAAGAATTTCAGTAGATAAGGTGACGGGGCTGCGGCGAGAGAGAAATCGCTGGTATGGCTGTTGTATCAGCGCCATGATATTCGCCATTCATCCGATTCACGTGGAGGTCATCGCATGGCCGTCCGCGCAGCCTTACACACTGTGCGCGCTATTGAGTAGCCTGACGTTGTATGTCTACGTCCAAGCACTGTATCGGAGGCTATGCAAAGTCCACAATGGAAAGGTAAATGCCATTGCTAAGCTGATGAAGAGTGTGTTCGTCGGAGGTGGGCAGAGTGATCTGCTCTGTTGTGGTAAGTTCACTTCTATCACGTGGAACTCCTTTGCTTAGAAATAACTAACACTTTGAATGTCACTACAGGATTGTATCTAAGTGCATTGCTATCGAAGAGTGCCTGTATTCTCCTTCCAGCAGGTTTCTTTCTAGTCGACATCCTCGTATTTGCAACCTTGCAGCCTCTTCTTCCCAGACCAACCGCACGAGAGTATTGGACGTACATCACTCGGAAATTACCGGTAGTTGCTATTCAACTCTCGTTTATTGCAGTTACGTTGGTGTCCAACTACAACGGAATGCACCCGGACACCGACTTGTTCTCGCTCACACTTAGTGAACGAGTGTTGAAGGCGACAACGATGCCAGCGTGGGTTCTACGTCGGATCCTGTGGCCAGCGAAGCTGCGACCGCATTATCAACTTCGTCCAGGAGTTTTAAGCCTGACCAACTCGGACTACTTGCTGTCTCTCTCGGTGTCAATGGCTCTAGTTTTATTCACGATCTGGCTGTTCCGACATCGTCAAGCACCGCAACATCTGCTTGCTCTGGCATATTTTGCCATCATGGTGCTACCGGTCTCAGGCCTCATTCAGCATGGCATGGTGTCTGCTGGATGTGATCGCTACGCCTACTTTTGTAGCATTGTCTTTGTTCCTTACGGTGGATCCTTGTTGGCGCAGCTTTTTGGTGATCAGGAGGAGAACGTCAAGGATCAAGAACCCGAGAACAGTCAAACGCAGCGCAAACACGAGCATACAACAATTGGCATTAGCGCCGTGTTTCTTCTCGGTGGAACTCTGCTCTTAGTTTCGACCAGTTTAATGGGAAATTGGCGGAATCAAGACGCACTGCTCGAGTACTCACTTCGGTACGAAAGGATAGTTTTTTATTGTGGCTAAGCCTCTTCTTTTTGGGTCTTACAGTTTGTTGTTTGTACGTGGCTAGAATGGACCCTACGGACTGGAGAATTTTGGACCAGCGCGCGACATATTTCGTCACGAGTGAGCGCTACTTAAGAAGTGACGAAGAGTGCAGGCGTCTTTGGGAGCTGACGTACTATTATACTCCCGTTGGCACGCTCAAATCGGATCTCCAACGTCTCAAACTGTTGATCTGGATGGACGGAATAAATGACGTCGTATGTGATGGATACACAAAGTTGCTGGAGGTTCGTCCGGACAGTTGCCACGTGCACAATAACGTCGGTGTGTGCTTGATCCACCAAGAGAAATATGGAGAAGCACGACACGAATTCGAACAGGCGTTGCTATGTCCAGGGTACGAAGACCTGTACGCAACTCCACGCCTCAACTTAAAGAGATTGGACGAGTGGATTGCTTTAAAAGAAGAAATTTTAGCTCGAGGTGAAGAGGACAGCGTGCCACATGTTAAATCACAGATCATGTTTTAATCACAGACGCAATTGCAAAAAAACTTGGTTGCATTTTTGTTTTTTTCGACAAACGTTCACACAGGGAATTCCTTACTTAAGCACAGTCCAGAACCACACGACCGGCAAGTTTGCCGGCCTCCATACGCTTGGCAAATTGTCGAGATTCTCGACGGAATAATTCGTGGACACGTCGCCACCGGCAGCAACTTTGAGTGCCTCGATCGAGTCCTGGCGGTTGCCCACGTAGGATCCGATGATGCGGTGTGCGTTCAGCACCGAGCCGAAGACGTCCGCCGTGACCTTGGCATCTTTAGGCAAACCGACCATCACGACGGCGCCGTGTGGACGCAAGAACGACAGAGCGTCGTTGTACGCTTCTGGGTTGGACGCAACCACCATCGTAGCATGCGCACCACGACCCTCAGTAGCAGCGAGGACCTTTTCACGGACGTTGCCGTCTTTAAAGTCGATGAAGTCCTTAATACCGTACGACTCGATGAGTTTACGCTTGTCTGCGCCAGTGTCAATGGCAATCACGCGGTAGCCCATAGCGCGTGCGTATTGGCAAGCGTAGTGGCCCAGACCGCCACCAGCACCGGGAATCACCACGGAGTCGCCGCACACACCGTTGATCTCCTTCAAGGCCTTGTAGACGGTGACACCGGCACACAAGATCGGGGCTGCAGCAGCCATATTCAGGTCCTTCGGGATCGGAGTCATATGGTCGGCGAACGACACGCACCACTGCTGGAACGAGCCGTCCACGCTGAATCCGTGCTGGTCAACCTCTGTGCAGGTGTGCTCGTAGCCCTTACGACAGTCCTCACAGCCGAGACACGAGTTGGCGATCCACTTGACACCAACCGGGTCTCCAACTTTGAGGCTCGAGCGCGTGTAGTCACCGATGGCAGCGACGTAGCCGGCACCTTCGTGGCCTCCGACACACGGCATTTTGGGCTCCAATGGGAAGTCACCTTTCCAGATGTGCAAGTCCGAGTGGCAAACACCACTGTATGCCACACGCACCAGCACCTCACCGGGCTTCAAGTCTTTTTGCTGGGTCACAGGCCAGTCCTTGCGAACGGTTAGCGGGCCGTTCGTCTTGTCAAAGACCACCGCCGTCTGCGTCATCGGGATGCTGTACTGGGACTGCGACTTGACCGAGAACGAACGCGACTGGCAACGTGGACACGTGCAGCCCATGGGATGTTGCACGCAATTGCCACAGCGGCATTGCATGTTATGGGCGCCGGCAAACGACTTGGTGCCAGTTGCCGCCACGCGGCGAGCAGGCTGGTTGAAGCGGGACACGAAGCGCAACATGGTGACAGACTTTTAATGCTGGAAGTACCAGGAGAATTCGATAATGAGCATGAAATAGGCTGGAGGACTTAACCGTTGGACTAGAGCCTTAAAACATCGAATCTAGGTTGAAGCCGCTAACACACTTCAACGTGCGGAAGTTCCAATGGCGCTTCAACGTGCAACTCGCTCGTGCCATCAACAGTGAAGTTCACTGTGAACTTCACTGTGGGTTCTATATTTGTTGCCGTGCTGTTGCACAAGTTGCTGCGTCAAACCCCAAGTTTAACGCACTTGTGATTCACAAGTTGTGAATGGCTTCGACATACGAGTCGTAGTATGACACTTAACTTCAACCACACACGGGTTAATACAGTTGTAGCTGCTATTATACACGATAAGCGGTTTAACAAACTGGGCCCACGTCATCCCTTAGTGTCGCAGAACAGATGAAGCTGTCTTGGTCTAGACGAGCTCGTATATCATGATAGCTAAAGTTACTCTTACAAAAAGGTCCGTGTGTAAGTAAGTATTTTTTTCAATACCTCCGACGGAGCCAAGCCAAGCTCAGCCACCGGACCGGCGTTGTTAGTCAGGCTGCGGATCAAACAGACCTCTAATCGTCGATAAACTGACCAAATAGACTTGTCTGATCTCTCTCAAGTAAGTATTTTTTTCTATCCAATACCGATATTGGTTTTAAACCGGTACTGTACCGGAAGTCGTGCTTAAAAATTAGTCGTGCATTCGCGCTTTAGTGACGTCACAAATCTGAAATATTTTAGAAAAATCATCAGTTCTAAACTAAAACACCGGTTTTGGTGAGATCTCTGTATTTACTTTATTCTAGTATGCTTGGCTTTGAAAAATGAGCGAGTAATTTTTAAGTAGCGAGTGACTAAATTACCAATTCTCTCAGCACCCTAATTAGTCATGGCATGACTAATTACAGTGAACGGTGTACAATCTGATACTACAGAAATTCTACTAATAGCTGGTTTTACGAATATCAAATTTTGAACACGAATTGCTATGATCAAGAACCTTATGGCCCCATGAAGACCCGACCTTCGTGACATCGACCACGTCGAGTTGTGCAAATGGGCGTTGGCTGACGCCACACGACAAGTTGAAGCTGTTGCCGTACTGTGGCGTCTGTGTTAGGATGCAAGCTGTAACTTTGCGAGTTTTTATATGTGTTTCAAATTGCAAGGTAGCTTTTGAATCCTACGTAGTTAGTCAAGCTCTTGTACTGTAGTTGGTCAAGCTCGGCTGTGCGATTGAACTTTGTTACACTCTAGACATACCCGTGGGTGATAAAATAGACTTGGTCAAGAGCAGCGCCCTAGTTGAAGAAGTAGGGGCTGTCCAGCACGCTCTGGAGGTCCAGGTCGCCGAGCTGCGGCACGTCGTCGAACTCCATGTCGGGGAAGCGCAAGTGCAGCTCCGTGAGCAGATCCTCCAGCAGCGGCTGCTCGTACAGGTTGACAAACTCCTCGCGCAGTCGGCGGTTCATAATGTCCACGGAGCACGCGTGCGTCCAGTAGCTGTCGTGCACGGCTGCGAACGAGATCTGCTCGTCCTCCAGACAGCGACGCGCCGTCAGCATCATGTGTGTCGAGTCCAACGAGTGGACAAAGTTGGGCGGGAAGGCAGATTTCTGGCGGCCAATACTGACCGGTCGGCCTTCGTTGTCCACCATCAGCACGTGCTGCACCTTGGTACGCACTTGCTTGGTGGACTTGCTGCGATAGGGCTGCACCACAGGCAGCCCCAGAGGTGTGATCCAAGACATCGGCTGGCCACTCTCTCCGACCTTCCCAGCACATCTGGCCAGCCAGCCCATAATACCACGAGCGGACGTGAACAAGTCGCCCATCGAGCCCATCGTGAGCTCCGCGCAGTAGCAGGATGCGTGGTAGATGTTATCCTCCAGCTTGTCGTCCATAATGTGGCCCTTGGTCAAGAACGTCTCGTGCAAACGCGCAGAGATCTGCTTACGCGCGCCAATGTACGTAACGCCGTACACACTTGTCATGACCGTCTGCTTGACCACTTTACGGGTAATGATACCGTCCAAGAACTGCGCGTATTTCTTGCGATGTGCTTGGTCCAGAAGCGTACGGAACTTTGTCCTGCGCGACAACGACTCGGTGCTCTCGTCGTCAGGAACAGCTGCAAGCATCGCACGCACTTCCTCCACTGTAGGCACCTCCAGAGCGGCATCGCGCTCCACCTTGGCCATCACCTGCGTAGCCACACCCATGTACACGTCACTCGGTCGGTCTGCAGGCACCAGGTTCACCTGAGCACCACCGCTGTGATCCCGACCCAGCGCAGCATAGTGCTGCAGACCATTACACGATCCGTCCTGGTGAATAGGGATGTTCGACATGTACTGCGTCGGGTCTGGGGATTCAATCGCTCGCTTCAGCTCAAAGCAGACGCCAAGGGCCAGGAAAGGGTAATCAGCGCCCTTCCACCACGCACAGTCGCCCTCTCCAAGTGGATCACTAGCAGACGCCACGACCTTATCCAGATGCGCGTCCGCAAACTCCACACGCTCGTCAAACGAGCACTTGTCCACACCGAAAACGTTGGCCAAATGGATCTTCATCCAGCGCAGACCTCGTTCTCCAAGAGGCTTGCGATCACGGAAGATCAACAGACTACGAGAAAGATCTGAGCCCAAGTGGTTCAGGTTGGGTGGGATCGGATACACGCGGCCACGGAAATCCATGTTGTACGGGTAGTACAGCTCCGGCTCGTCCTTAAACTCCTCAGCCACTTGGAGCTTGTACAGCGTATCACATCGTAGCGAGTGGAACTCTCGATTCAGTTGCTCAATCTGCATAAAATTACCACAAAAACTGTGAGTTTCTTTGTCGTACAACATAAAAAAGCTAATATAAAAATATGTGAGTCACGAGACTCCACCGTAGGAGTCTCTCAGATGGCTCAAGGGATAGGAAAATCCACCCAACAACCTCCAAGCAGTGACCGCTTACTGTAGCAATCAGTTTGAACCCACATGACGTAGAAATAGTCATCATGTGGGCTTGATTCTGTTGCGTCGATACACAGAAAATAATAGCCAGTTTCTTACCTTGCGGACATTCTTGTGATACAGCGCCGGGTCGTCTGCGAACTCGGGACTGTCTGGGTCTGGCAGAGGAACATCTGTACGTGTCGGTAGGTCTCCAAAGTTGCCGCCATCTTCCCAGATCTGCAGCACCACATCCAGCACTTCTTTGTTGATCACCCACGGTACTTCAGCCATTAAGTTGAGCGCCTTCAAGATCCCGTCCATTTCGCCACGCTGCACACAGTCCATTTGCCAGGCCGAGTCTCGTTGACGCATGATCTTGGTACGCAATTTGAGGTATCCTCCATTGATCACGCTGGTCCACGGACGCGGCGGCACCAGCATCGGCAGGTAACGCGCCGTCCAGGGCAACACATTGGCGTCAGGGTTGGTAGCTAGCACGGTATCAGCCATTCTCTGGTGGATCTGGATGACTCCGGCGCGTCGATTCCGGTCGAACACGTAGTTGTGGATAAAAGCTGGTTCGGGGGGAGGAAGACCTTTAGCCGCGCACAGCTCAGGCGTTGAGACTTCTCCGTACTCGTTCGGTACATAGCACGTGCGTTGGATGCAGTCAACAACCGCAGCGCCGACTTTGAGCTGCAATCTCTTGTCCCAGCCGCCCACAGAGTCCACATATTCCTTCATGCGCATTTTCAGACTCTCCAACTTGATATTCTTGGAGACTTGCAGATAAAATTTGTCATCGTCTTGATATCGCTTGGAGATTGTTTCTTTCTTGGAGATAATCTCTTCCTGCACGGCTTTCCCCATAGCAAGAGCCAGTTTGATGAACTTGGGGCCTTTGGACTCCATCAGACACATGTTCAGCATGATGTTCATGCCGATAGCAGCGAGGATATCGTGACGAAGCAGCATCAGCGCGGGGCCGTAGATGTTGCTGTCGGTACTGTGCGTTCCAGACTTGATCTTCTTCTGCTCGGACTCGATGTATTTCTGCGCCTGAGGCATCCACTTTGTGATGAGATCTTTCGCCGCGTTGGTGGACGTAGAGCGGCCCAGCTGTCGGACTTTATCATGCGAGGCCGAGTACTTGTCCATGGCCATTTCGTACACGGAACACTCGAGACGGAGCTGACGCGCATAACGTCGACGCATGTTCTGGGTCTCTTCGGGTGTTGAGCACTTGGCTAGTTCATCGTTAGGGATCTCGAAGCTCTCCAGCCATTTATCCACGTCCTCGTCGGACATGAACGAGCGCGCGCTCTTAGCCAACTCGACGGAGTCGGCAAACTCCTCCTCAGTCTTGCCGATAAGCTTCTCAAGTCCCATAGTTAGAGGCGCTAGTTTGTAAGGCTTCTCCACTGTAGAGCGGGGAATCAGCTGCTGCGCGCGGATAGCCCAGTCGGCCTCAGCTAGACGACGTGGTGCTGTGCTCTCGGTCATGGACTCGAACTCGTCGGCTAGTTCTGAGTCTGCAGCGGTGGCTGCCTCGGCGGCCAGCGAGCTCTTAGAGCGCGTCAGGAGGCTCAATGCGCCACACTGCATTCGACTACGACGATCCAGGCTGTGGGAGGCACGACGCAGCGCCGCACGGGCCATGCGCGCAGTCGTCAAAGATGAAGTCTGCATCGTGAAGTAAAAACGACGTTTCCTTAGCTGCTAGAGCGCGACGGAGACTGTAAACTACGTGAGTAGACGCAGCACGGGGACGCAGAGATGGTGGTGTGACTGGCGCTCAGGTCCGAGACGCACAGGACACTACACAGAGCAAGACACGACACCGGAAAACTCCGATCTCGACGCTTGACCCTTGAGCTTTTCGAGTGTGAGGCTCGCAACGAGTTTGGTAGCAAGAAGGCGATGACTGGGCCACGGCGATCGCACTTTTTATAGCCAATCAAGTGCCACGAGAAAATTATTTTCAGCCAATGATTTGTGACCAAGACGTCTGATTGGGAGTAGCAGCCAATAATGTTCCGCGCCCTATTACTATGTTTTGCGAGATTCTAGAACTTACAAACATCAAGCTTACTTTCAGGCGGGATGAAGCCTCTATATTGATTTGGCACAATCTTTCCGTACATGAACGACTGACTTTTTTGCAACTCATGACACGAATCAAATTGAAAAGGTGATGGCAACACCAGCAAGTCATGTCCGCGCTTCCTCATGCGCTCACAAAGGCAATGCACATGACCACACACACGATCACGACGTCGACGAGCTCAACGAGATGGACCTGGCTTTTGATCCAACGCTGGCCTCGTGCTGCGAGCGCGATGAGCACGAGTACAAGAAGGCCATGAAGCTCAAAGCCGTGTTGACAGCGCACGACCCCACATCCAGCGCAGTGCGGATGCGTCAGCAGCTGTTCCAGCCGCCGGCAACAGTCACAACGCACTCATCGGTGGTCGTGCCTCAAGTTGCACAGCCACAGCAGCCACAAATATCCGATTCAGAGTCGGACTCGGACGACTTCGACGTTAGTGACGATGAGTTCGGCATGGAAGCGATGCTGGCCGCTCGTCGCAAGCAGCTCGAGCAGCAATTCCAGAAAGCTGCGCAGGATGCTGTCGATGGATACGGAGTAGTGCTGGATGTAGCACTACCACAGCTCGTGCAGGAACTACAGAAGGAACCGGAGGTGCCACGGGTGGTGTTTGTGGTGGACAGCACAGCTGAAGCTTCCGAGTTCTTGCAAGCCATGTGCCGTGAGATTGCTGCAGTAGCACAGCAGTTTCTAGGAACAAAGTTCTACGTAGCAATGGCAGCACGCGACGAAGACGCGTTGCGACAATTGGGTTTGGCGTCGGTGCCAGCCTTGGCAGCGTTCCGCCGTGGCGAGTGCGTGGACTCCGTTGCGCTGGACCCAAAAGCATCAATCACAAAGCTTGAGGTCCTCTGGGAGGCTCGCTTCTTACCGTGGCTGGCCAAGTGTAATGTGCTGACCAGTGAGCGTCAAGCTTCTCAGAATAGTCAGAGCAAGTCACGCTGGAAGAAACCAGCGGACGAGGATGAGACGGAACGTGAGGGTTTTGACTGCGGTGTGGAGAACTGCCGCCTGCGATTCGGTTACGAACACGAACACGTAGGGACTTCGCAACAAACCAAGGACGAGATCGCAGCGTGGCGCCAGAGCTCCGCCTAATTTTAAGGAAAGAGTACTAGCTTCAGAAATCATTAATTATGTGTGCTCTTCGATGTGTTATATGGCTTTCTGTTGGTATCACCCATTAGCGACGTCTCTGATGTGGGCGGAGCTCCAGTACTCGAGGAAAGCGAAGGGGCAGGTGACTGGTTTCCACCAAAGCGTCGAATGTGATACCGGTACAAGTGATTGGATGGAACTTTTCGGGTCTCCACACACACGTGCAAGTGCCCTACTGTACAACACCACGGCGGCAGCAGCCAACTTTATATCGAACATTGGTACAGTACAATTATTGTCAGCTGTAGTTGCCATCAGGTTGATACGGAAGCCTAGTTATGGCTCCAATCCTTGCGATGACGAGGTTCCGATGCATCAGCGGTGGTACGCTCGCAGTCCCGCCGTGCCACTGAAGCAGTGCCGCCGCGTACGGTGGTGATTTGAGGTGGATCGGCGCAGCTTACAAAACTGAAGTTGCCGCTGAACTCTAGGTAGCCGGTGGATCTTTTCCGGTCCGAACAGCGGCTTACAAACACCAAGTTCGCACACGTCGCAGACCATCGATGTTGAAGCGACACTCTCGTTCTAAATTGTTGCACGCACGTCGAAATGGAGGCAATGTATGGCTCGAAGCCAGCGACGCCCTCACCGTCGCACGGTTGTCGCGCGAAGCAGAACCTGGAGCCGCATTATCAGCTCCGCCGTTAATTAACCTCCTGGTGGCTTTCCAAACCGGCCATTGGCGCCCAGGGACAGGGATAAGGTCAGAGGGAACGTCACTTCAACCGCCCGCGATGCCTCGTAACGGCATTTCCTATTTGGAGGCGCAGTGCACAAGCCCCAGAGCAGCACGCGAAGGGGGAAAGCGACCAAAGCTTCTTCCTATATTTAAAACACACACAAAAGCATGGAGGAAGAGCCTCAGGAAGGGACGAGGAAGCCGGCGCGCGAGCGAGCGAGCTCCGGTATGTTGCGTAAGGAGCTGGACATGCGGCTCACGGCGTATCTGCCCGCCGTGGTGCGTCGGCACGTGGAGAAACAGGACATGCAGCGTCCGCTGTCCATGCCCACGACGCACCGCACGACCGTCGTGAGCATGTTCGCCGACGTGTCGGGCTTCACAGCCATGACCGAGTCTCTCGCTGCCCGAGGGCCTGTGGGCGCTGAAGATCTAGGCAAACACTTGAACTCGTACTTTGAGCAGCTACTGAGACTCGTGTCCAGCGCGGGCGGAGACGTCTTCAAGTTCGCAGGAGACGCCATGCTCATCTTCTGGCCCGAGAGCAAGGAGGACACGATGGACAGTTTACTACGTCGTGCACTGCAGTGTGCGCTACGGATCCAGTCACATCTACACGAGGCCGAGCTGGCTCAAGGTGTCGTATTGAGTGTGAAAGTGGGCGTGGGCATTGGAGAAGCCACGATCGCACATCTTGGCGGAGAGAGTGACGGCGCCACTGCGCGCGTCGAGTACGTCGCAGTGGGGCCAGCGTTGGAGCAGGCGTTCAGTGCCGAACACCAGGCGGAAGCAGGGGACGTCATCTGCTCTAGCGAATGCTGGAAGCGCGTCAGTGAGTTCTTTGACGGTGCTGCAGTTCGCGGCCACGACAACAACAATGAGGACGGGAACTGCTTCCACAAGGTCACAGCAGTGAACAAACCAGTCAAGATCTGCTCCAGAAGGCCGTCTTTTACACGCCACGACGCGCTGCTGCATAAACGAATGAAACAGTATGTTTCTCGTGCTGTGTGGCCCTATTTGGACGCTCATGATGAGTTCTGGGGCTCCGAACTCCGAGACGTCACTGTATTATTTATCAACCTCGGCTTCAGGTACGCTACTCACTGATAGATACACAAAACAGCCTTATAACTGACGAGACGACTGCAGTGAGCAGGATCTAGCTCGAATGCTCGGAGCGAAGGAGCTACAGCGACTGCAGGACGCGTTTGCCACCGTCCAGAAGTGTGTGTACGACTATGAAGGCACCATCAACAAGTTCCTAGTGGACGACAAAGGCAGTACAGTCATCGCTGCCTTCGGTCTACCACCCGTAACACACGAGAACGACCCTATTCGAGGCATCTTGGCGTCTCTAGCTATCTGTGCTGCACTCGGCAACACTGGACTCAAGGCTTCGGTGGGTATCACGACCGGTACAGCATTGTGTGGCGTTGTTGGCCATCAAGGCAACCGACGAGAGTACACGGTACTGGGAGATATCGTGAACCTGTCGGCTCGCTTGATGCAGCGCGCAAAATCCGAAGGTGGCGGCGTGATTACAGACGCCTCAACGAAGATCTACACGCAGGACGTGCTGCACTTCGAGAAGCGTCCAGAGATTATGGTCAAGGGCAAGAACGAGAGCATCAAGATTCATCGTCCGTACCCTCGAATGTCCATCTTGATGGACTATCATCTGTCGTCTACTGTACAGCAAAACCCTCGGAAGCTCAAGACTTGTTCGGTGGGACCCACAGATGAGATAATTGGTCGTGTAGGACGTGCCAACGCGCTGTCGGTTGTGAGTCGAGCTGCGCCGATCCAGAACTTGATGGAGAATATGCATCGTGTGCAAGTACGTGACGCCCAGCGACGGCTATCCGTGCGTGCTGATCGACAGTGCTTACCGGCTGCAGAACTCGTGGAAAGCGAGAGCTTCGTCCAAGCTCGTACAGCTTTGTTGGACAAGTGTTCGCATCTGAATTCCTTTGCTCCCGGAGGAGCCTTCGTGTTGGAGGGTGACATCGGTGTGGGCAAGACTGTACTGCTTCGATCTGCCCTTGCCAGTGCTGAAGCTGGAGATTACCAAGTGCTCGTGGGTACAGCTAGTCCTTTTGCCACGAAGAAGCCGTATGCCGTTTGGTCCGAGCTCATTACGAGAGGAGCGATGGAGCAGCTACATGGTAGCAGCAATGAGCCTGCGCCTCCACTGTCGCCTGATGTGGGAACCACAACGGACTCCACTGCGGTACAGGCTCCAAGTCGAGTGGCGGAGACGAAGCGCAGACAATGTGTGGCTCAGTTCGTGAGGCAGAAGATTCGCGAAGGAGCAGCGCCCAACAGGACACTCGTCCGCTATGCGCCTCTGCTCGACGAAGTCTTGGACACAGAGTTCGACGCTTATCCTGACACTAGCGACGTCAAGAGCGATGACTGCAACACAGAACAGACCAACCAGAGCGACGAAGATGCTGACAAGAGCCAGCGACACAATGAACAAGAGCTACGGGCGTGTGGATACGCCTTCGCTGAGAGCCCGGACCGAACGCTTAGCGTGAAAGAAGACGAGATCGCGTCGTGGTTTTTGGGGTTACTGGAGATGGATCTGGCTCAGAAGGAGGAAGAGGCTCGAGCGTCGATGGATACTTCGTCTTACATCGACACAAAGGACAGTGAACCGGACGAGCAAGAAGACGAGCAAGAGTCAGAGTGGAGACCTGATGCTCTGGATCTCAGCGGCATTCTCCTCTTGTGTGCACTGCACGCTATGTCACGCGATCGCGCAACTGTATTTTGTCTCGATAACGCTATGCACATGGACGAGAAGTCGTGGGTTCTGGTCACGATCATCGCGAAATATTTCACGAACTGTTTGGTTGTCGTCGGCACGCGGCCTCCAAGCTTGGCACTGGGTGAAAACACGGAGAGTGGCTCGTTCCGCAAGCAGTTACGTCTGCTCAAGCGCCTCAAGTCTTCGTCGTGTAAAGCACTCGATACGTGCAGTAGTGGAGAGACCGAGCTGCTGTCACGTCAGATCTTGAAGGTTCCTGTGATCCCCAGTGATCTCTTGGCGATTCTCGTGTCGCGTTCCCAAGGAAACCCGCTTTTCCTACTCGAGATCATCGCCGAGATGCAAGAACAACAAGTGATCAAAGTGGACGACAAGAAAGGAGCTCGGACGTGTGAGCTGCGTGTACAGGAATCGTGGGGTGACAAGTCCAAGGCCCAGTTCTGCTTTGCTTGTCATGCCAGCTTTGCGAACCCCAAAAAGGACAAGGACAAAGACAAGAAGATCGATGTGGAGAGGGAGATGAACCAGATCACGGACGTAGATGTCACTAGGAAAACCAAGCATCGTTGCAAGTGCTGTGGCTATTTCTTCTGCGCCGAATGCACGCCGAAGGCGTGTCAAGCGAAGATCCCAGGCAAGTACAGTGAGCCTGTACGTCACTGTCGAACGTGCTACAATTTGTCCTCATCGCGTCGACCTAGCGGCTCATCTCACGGCGTCGGAGCTGCAGTTGGAGCGGTCACAGACAAGCGATTACGTCCTAAAGGTCGAATTCGCTCCATCTTCCAGTCGGGAGGAGGTGGAGACCTTTTGTCCTCGTCGTCAGCTTCGTCCAAGTCTCCTGCGCTATCGAATCCTCAGACCTTGACGAACCGTATCGCGTTGAGGCCTCCACGGACGGTTAAGAGCGTTCTTACCACGATGCTGGACCAGCTGACTTGTTCACAGCGTATGCTGATGAAGACTGCGAGCGCCATCGGACCGGTCTTTGACAAGGAAATGCTGCGTGGCGCGTGTCCGATCGAGGCTTATTTATGTCGATTCGCTCAGGACTTGGAGGAGTTGGAGCAGCTGGCAATGATCCGAAGAATCGACACGTTTATTGGCGGAGTGCCAGCTTCCTTAGGAGCTACGGGTGCCATCCTGACTAGCAGTCAAACTGCGCCACCGAGCAGCTATTTGAAGATTAAGTTCGAGTTCAGTCATGGCTTCATGCGCCGTGTCGTCCGTGACCAACTGCTACGAGGTCAACTGGACAAACTCAACGCTCGAATCGCAGATTTCCGCGAGCAACAGCAGAAGGAATTACGCCACAAGTTTTTCGCCAAGGCGAACGAGAGTCTTTCTCGTCCGATTCCGTTGAGTATTCCAGCTCCTTCCGGAGAAGATGGTGACATTCGACGAGCGCTAACTCCTACTGGAGTTGGTATGGGGAACTCTCAATCTCCAGGGACAAGACGTCATCGTTTGGTTCGACGCAACTCGCACTCAGGGATTCGTCACGACATTACGTCCAGTGAGATTGTGACTGCATCGTCCGATTCCTCGCCCGAGTCGTCGATGACGCAAGCGCTACACGAGACCGAGTTCGACGACGCACTGTCCCATAGTGCTACTAGAAGTAACACGCGTCAGGTGGGGTCGCAAGTGGGCAGACAAGCGACGTTCATTCGGTTGAAGGCGGACCGCGTGGTCGTCAAGAAATATAGTAGCATGTTCTCACATTTGAAGCTCAAGGGACTCAAGAACGCACGACAGTGGAAGACTCGCTATGCTGTGCTAGAGAGCAACCGCTTGTTGCTTCAATACTACGAGGACGACCCCATTGGAGACGTCAGCAGATCTGCTCCGCTCCAGCATGACAAAGGAGCTCGACACTGCACCTTGTTGTCTCTGAAAGGTGCCAAAGTGAGCGCGTGTGACCCCGAAGTGGCTGCTAAGGTCAACTGCTTCCAAGTGCAAGTCACGGAGTGGACGAAAAAGGGCAAAGTCATCAAGAACCAACGACGCTCTTTTATCGTTGGTGTCGAGAGCGAAGAAGAGGTGGAGAACTGGGTCTACATGATTCGATTTGCGATTGAATCGCTAGAAAGTCAACCTGCCAACTTGCAGCAGTAGACAACAGCTGATGTAGGCGGTGGTTGCCTTGGCGCGGGCTGGTAATGTGCTTTACAAAGTTGCAGGTCTGACAATCATGCCTCGATTAGGAAAATAAGCTGTAATTTACGTAAAATACGGACAAAATTTTTGCTTGAACTCCTAATTAAAATGAAAAGCCTTATGAGGTTTTACTTCAGGACAGACACATTACTAGCTGTGACATCCCTCCTCGCTGACCGCGCTTACATGACGTGCCGCCCTTGTCTAATACAAGGCATGGAGACCCAACGCGTTTAGGAATGCTGGAAAATGCTGCCACCTCACGAATGCTTCAATGGTAAACGATACTACTTTATCAGCAAAGTACTTGTAATACATTAGTACATTAATGCTGTGGCATTCCGTCTGTTTGACGAACATCCCACTATTTAATAAAGCAATTATATAAAATCAGCAAAATCAAAAGATATTTACCGTGCTGCAAACCGCTAATCCATAACTATCACACTATTTAATTAATAAAGCATTTATATAAAATACTTAGACCCTTCTCATCGCTTTCCTTACCAGCAAGATACGTTTGAAGCCATCGCGTTTGCTGCTCTTTGAAATATTAAATCATTAAACCTGTACAAATACTAAGCAACAAGCGGTTTTAGGTCACAATGTAAAAATAAAATAATAAGAAGACGGTTTACCCATTCTTCCCGTCGCACATCCTTCGTAAAGGTTACCAAATCGTGAGAGAGTGTATTAACGGCGCTGCACCCTGGCCCGTCAAGGTTTTGCTGGTTTGGGCACCCGCAAAGTCTTGGATGTTCTCTTTATCGTCTAGCCAGTCGCGAAGTCGTGCGAGGGATATTTAGTTTCTCTGATGCGGCTTGGCAGCTTCCTAACGCCTCACCAGTCGCGATTGCTTCGCGCTTGGTTAGAATTATATAGGAGCGCTGAGGCGCCATTTCCAGAGATAGAAATTTTAACTATATGTATAATGCTACCCGTTGGAACCAGTCGATTCAATTTACTCTATCATTGGATAAAATAAAAAATTGTTCAAATCTTTTATTTTGAACTTCAAGTGTTCGTGGCGGATTTGTATGGTATGGCGGATTTCACCGTCGTTGTCTGTAGAGATAGAGTTTTTGCTTCTGACACATTTCGACAAATACTTGTCGGGACCAGTGACGAAAGATGTATTTGTCTCTACAGTTGCCAACTGAATTTTTTTTACCAGATATTTGTACAGTTCAGGCAGCTAGGCTAGGTCCTAGACTAGGAAGACAGTTTACATGACATTGAAAGCCCTCCTCACTGTTCAGATAGCTAAGAAAGGCAGATGAACCTAATGAGCCTATGTTGGTGTGGTGCCAACGATCATCCTTGCCACCTCGAGGGGACAACATCTGTATCGAGTCTTGCATCTGTCCACGCTGCAGACAGCACTTTGTCATCTACAAACGCAGACAATCAAGAACGAACAAAAGTCAAGGCACGTACTAAGCGCGGAGAAGATGGCGTACAGGGGTACGTGAACCGGATGCTTAAGCGTGTAGCTGAACCTGAGGGTGCTACCTCTGCATTGACGTCGCATTATTTTAGACGCGGTGGAGCCCAGCATGCAAACGGCGACGACGGACTAGCTGCTCAGTGGATCTTCGACAGGGATGCGTGGGATATGACAAAGACCAGCAAAGCATTCGCTTACATCGCAAACACTGCACGCGAAGACAGGAAGGTGGCGCGTGTCTTGAGTAGGTGGAGGACGGACGAGTCGCCAGTGATTCTTGATATCGCGGCGCTGGATCACACAAGTCGGGAGCGACTTGGGCGTCTGCAGGTGTTCCTGTTCAGTGCATGTACTGGTCTAGAGCAACAACGGCTGAATGTAAGCACGAAGGTCCTCAGCGTTCTCACGGCGTACCTCATCCGGTACTATCCGCAGATAAAGGAGCTAGCGCCAATGGCTCCAATCATCACACAGGCTGAAGATAGTTTAGTTGCTACAGATATGCCATTCGACGACATGCTTGCATGGTCGGTGGATCTGAACCAAGAAGCTGTGCAACCCGCTCGAGATAAAGAAGAGAAGAAGCTCTCTTGCCGAGCAATGGGTCATCCCCTCTCTGTCATTCAACAGCTTATCACGTCGAGCAAGGTACTTGCCGCGCGGTTGACTATCGTCGAATCTGCGCTACTCAAGCCTACCAAGGCGCAAGAACCTACTAAAGACGAGCAAGTACAAATAACACCAGATTAAGAATCCAAACCCACACGCAGGAAAAGCAAGTAACCAGCCTTTCCTCCGCGTGGTGCGAATGGTACGCGCGAACCGCTTTCGTGCCTACTAACACTCAGAAGGCACACACCACCGCGATTGCCACTTTCAAGCGGATGCTGGAGGAGGAGGACGTTAGCATGGACTTTGTCCACGCTAGCATTCGCTTGGACACCTCCGGCAAACGCTTAGCTGCGACGATGGATCGCTTTAGATTCTATCTTGCCACGAACGACGGTAAATAAGGTAAGCCTGCACGTAGTACGGCGACCTCCTACCTGAAGCTACGGCTATTTAATCAGTACCCACACTTGCGTGTGCCTACTAAATTGATACCGCTCAAGCAAGGAAAGACACTAGACAAGCATTACATGGAAAGAGAAAAAGGTGGCTTGATGAATAAGGCTCCTCCTTGTCCTAAGGAGGATTTACAGTCGCTAATCCGCTATTTATACAGCACGGCACGCGTGCATGGTGACTACCAAGATGCTGCACTAGCGTGTCTGATGTGGCACTGCTTTGGCCGATCTTCCGAATTGGGATATATTCAAAAGCAACACGTGTCAGTTTCTGCGGATAGTACATTCTACATTCGACTGCTGCGTGTCAAAACTTCCGAAGAGCAGGGCCTCACCTTGATTCCGGACAAGAACAATTTCTTGACGTGTCTCTTGCACGCTTTGGCTGTGGCATTAGCAAGACGCCACGTGCGCTGCACTGCTCGACCAACTGCCCGAGCTGGTATCCGAAGAGTCTACAAACATCGATGAAGGTGCCCCACTGCACGATCTGCTCGCCGCTGATCCAACCTCCCTCCGATCTTGCTCACAAAATCCCGGAATAGTCGCAACCGCAGTGGCAATAATGTCGCTCCGATAGACTTCTTCACCGTCTGTCACTTTCTTCTTGATGCGCTTAACAATACCAGAATCGTAGGACAGTGTTGGCGCGGCCACACCTGGGTGTTTAATGCGCTTTAGCGATGGGTTGACCGTTGACGAAAATGTCTTCTTTGGTCAACATACATCCGTGCAAGGTTGTACGCTGTATATTAAGCTGTCGGGACCCTGCCGTTGTGTCCCAGTCTTGTTCATCACATTTTACCAGTACCGTAGCGCAAGGCTCATGGACGACCAGATTCATCAAGCGTTACAAACTAACTAGCCTCATTTCGGTTGTCCCTAAGAAGAAAAAGAGGAAGAGAGAGCAGCCTCCGCCGCCGATGTCCAGTTTGATCGAAACCTCCAAGGAGGTGGTGTTAAGTATGGCCGAAATAAACAAAGAGGCAGTGTCGAGTTAACCCAAGGGAGCAGTGTCGAGTTTGGCCGAAAATATCAGTACCCGAGATTATTTCTCTGGAAAATGATGAATGTGATGGTGGCGGTATTGGGTACGACTTCGGAGACGAATGGGGTATATATGCATCGGATATCGTGAAAGAAACACAATCGCCATGCTTCGTTGTTGGAAAACCGAGCAGCAGAGTGATCATAAAACCCACCGATATCGCGACAGCTCAAGGCGATAACTGGTTAAACGATTCAGTGATGCCATACTGCACACTAACACTTCTTCCGTCGCATGGAAGAACGTTTGTCATAGACTCAACCGTTTTTGGCTACATTTACAATGAGTTCAAGCTGGTTAAACGCAACATTAGGGTCGTCCACAGAAACTGCTGTGGTATTACTGCAACGTTTCCATTCGAAAAATACGACCGCGTGGTTGTCCCTATATGTACGGGACTACACTGGACCTTTGTAATTATGCAAAACCCAGTTCTTACAACAGAAAAATTAAGAAGGTGTATCGTACATGTAGGAATACCCAGATCGAAGCAGTTAAGAAAGCATTGAACGGGGATTTTGATGAAGAGCAGAAGAAGAAGTTTCCAGAGAAACCCGTTCCGGATTACGTCGTGAGAGGAGTTCATACAAGACCGATGCAGAGGTACTCGGATGATTGCGGCATTTTTGTGCTCTATTTCGTGAAACGCACCGTGGAGGCGTTCCTACAAGGCAATACACATCTTTTAAGCGACATCGAAACTTTCTGCACAGCTCCAAGGTCCGCACGCTTTAATCCAAGCATGATGCGAAAGGACGTTTTAAAGCAGCTAGTTCATTAATATTACCAGGTTAAAAGTGCCATTCGTATCTGTAATGCATGTTCTACATAATATTACACAATTACAATGCATTAGTGCATATCCAAATACAACCTTCCCTGCAATGCATCATACAATTTTCCCTGCAATGCATCAGTACGCGCAGAGACCGCGTCTATCACACTTCAAAAGACGTTTTCATGCTCACAACACGCTCCCGCACTTACAGACAGACACACACATCACACGTTCGCACACGCCCCCCTCCCCCGCGCGCAAGCACACTAAGACACTCTACACCAAACTACCGCACACTTGATTACCGCTGCCTCAACGCCACACTCTAATGAATATCCTCTCCTGAAATTATTGACGACGGCGGGTATTGATCCCGCGCCTTAGGTCATTTTGACCTGTGCTCAGCTTTGACCTACGTCGTCAGAATGGGTGGGTGGGGGGGGGGCTTCGGTTGGGTTTGAGGTCTGCTGGGTTTGGCTTAAAAAATGAAGACTGAGCCCGCGCGCCTTCCTGAGCCGACCGTTAAACTAATGGCTGATTCTTATTGGCTAGATCTAAAACCTCACGAGGTTTAAAAACGACTGGCTTTGGACTGGGATGCGACTGTTGTGGCTGATA